CATTTATTCTACCTCTACATCATCTACAATGAAAGAGGAGGACTTCAGAGTACTGTTAGTAATAAATGAGTATGCTCTGCATGCTTCAAATATTTTAAAATGAAATTTTATTCCCAGTGTCCCAAGTAGCCCCATTTGACGGGGCTACTCGAGACACTCTTTTTTTGCTTCTGGCACCTTACGAATAGCATATGGAATTTTTTTAAGATGCCATTCAATAGCCCTCGCAAAGAGCTATAAAATGAGCCTAAACTTGTTAATGAAATGTTTCATCATAAGAAGTTATTAACAAAAAACGCTCAAAACCGTCCCGAGTAGCCTCGGTTGACGGTATGTCAAGGGTCCTGCATTACCCTGTTCCCAGAGGGTAGTAATTCGGGATGCTTTTATTTAGCATCTGGCACCTTACAAATAGCATATGGATTTATTTTTCAAAGATGCCATACAATAGTGGCACTTGGATAGCCCATGCAATTGCAAAGTCCTATAAAATTAGCCCAAACTTGTTCGTGAAATGTTTCATGGTAGGTACAGGTAGGAAGTTATAAATGAAAAATGGTCAGAAGTTCAGAACCATCCCTTATTACCCTGTTTGATGGTACTGTCTGTACCTAATTTCAGATAGAGATGATATTCTTATTCAGTAGGTTCAATTAGTATGCCACTACCTAATACCTGAAAGGCTGAAACAGCTTGTTTTTAGGATTTCCTTGAGAACTTGATGATAAAATGTCATGATGTTGAGAGTTGGTACTTTGTTGAACCTTGCAACATTAGTGAGACTGTGAGAGAATGTTAACAACATACCTTGCCATGCCACCTTGGTGTTTAAAATAGGTCTATCTGTTGTTTGAGTGAAAGCAAGGGAATATTAAATTAGGTACTAATAATTATAGCCAAATTAAGCCAATAACAGTTCATCAATCAATTATCCAAATCCTGATGTCAGTGTATGGCTGTATGCCATTCAGGAATAATGGAAATGGATTTGTGTCATATTTTGTTTACTGATAATTATTTTCCATTATTACCTCAATTAACCAGGTTAACTTTAAAAAATTTAATATAAAGGTAAAAAATATTTCATTTCCAAAAAATCTCAATTTTCATTAAAGTAAATATTTAACATTAAAAAATATGAAATACATGTTTTTTTATTAATTTTCAATGGCTGAGCATGTGTGGCAACAGAAAAAATTGTTTGTTTGAAAAATCCCTTGAAGGGAATTCACTTGATAGATATCCAGATAAAAATTTCATAGTCTGATGGCAAAATTTCAAAAGTTGTTTATTGGTCCACCCTATCATATCAGGTGTAAATGCATTCTTATGGGTGTCCCATGCCTGATTACCCCATCTTGCGCAGCAATGCCACCATTTTTTTATTGAGCTACGTATACAAATTCTGTCAATCACATTTTTAAGCCAGCACTTGTGTGCAACTTTTATGTATGGACAATTTTTTAATCCAGCAAAGATTCGTTTACTACATACTAACATACCTTAGCAGAAGTTTTTTCAAAATCTCGCTTGTCACACTTTTTTATATGGATTTTTTAGAGGTAGTAAATGTATGATTTCTTAACTTGCTTTATGCTACATAGTTGCAATGCATAGTTGAGTTGCAATTAAATTGTGTGCACCACTATTTTGAGTTTTGCAATATTTCTATTAATTTAGCTGCTACAGCATTTCTATGAAATGTTGTAGGACTGTCCCTTATTACCCCATTTGACCCTACTGTGTTTCAAGCATTGGAAGTTGCAAACAAATTTACTAACTGCCTGATCTACAAAGAACAGAAAATTTAAATATTTTGATTATTGTCTGACAGATTTGGTACCTTAATATCAGAATTTTGTCACTGCCTTAATACCGGTAGTATTAATGATTTCCAATGGCTTAGAAGCATCAAGAGTTAACAAACTTTAGCACAATCAATGTGCTGTATATTTTAACCTGATTACTTTTTTCTGTTAGATCACAGAAAAGTAGAGAACTCTTTATCCCAATTGCAAGAAATGTGAAAATTTTTCCAAATATTGAAATTGAAATATTGTAAGTTCATAAAGTTGGTAATGGATGGGTTTGTCCCAGAAGCGCAAGCATTACTTGAGCTTGAAGATAATGCTGGTAGCAACCCAAGCAGAGACAATTATGTGAGTCCACTGGCTTTATCCCAACCCACTCTTCCCATCCAGCATTATGATCCAGCAGGCACCTACAGGACTCCTCATAAACCTTCAGCCAAAAAGAATTATGGCGGATATTGTGAAATTTGTAATCTGAGAGTGAGTGCTTCATCTTTTATGTCTTATGGTAAACATACCTATATGATGTTACTCTTTTCTCTTTTTTTTTATCACAAGGTTTTAATATGAATTAGGGTCCTTCCTCATCACAATAAATTGTTGAGACTTTCTTAGATACTGTACCCTGTCTTGACATTTTTAATGCAAGTTACTTTGAATCTGGAAAAATCTGTTACTTCTCACTGTAAAATACTATTTCAATATTTTCATCATATTCAGCACTAATGGATGCTGACTTCAGCATTAATGAATTTCTCTTCTTGATGTTGCTGTGCAATACAGACCATTTACATACATTAACATAGTGACTAGAAATAGGCTTATTTGCTTCATTACAATCAAGGGTAGATCTTACTTGTTATACTATACCTTGAAGGAATATTACTACTAAATCATTTAATTAACGCAGTATAATATTGAAATTTTATCATTGTTGTTCCTATTCCCAATGTAATATATTCATTTGTTGTACAGCTCAACTCTTACACACAATCCAAGAGTCATTATGAGGGCAAACCTCATGCCAAGAAAGTCAAGGCCGAGCAGAAGAGGAAGGAGTCTCTCTCATCAGACGGCACTACTGACAATGCTCCCCCTCCTTGTAAAAAGGTGTCTTTAATTATCAGTACTGGTACTCCCTTTAAACCTCCGGCCCTCTCATGCAGCATTTTGTAGCTATTGAATA